GTGAGTGTGATTAGTCCCGTTTGTCCCCATGTCCTCTCACAAGACCTTCAGAATCAAGCAGTTTTTGGCCAAGAAACAAAAACAAAATCATCTCACTCCCCAGTGGATTCGAATGAAAACTGGTAATAAAATCAGGTACAACTCAAAGAGGAGACACTGGAGAAGAACCAACCTGGGCCTATAAGGAATTGCACATTAGATGGCACGTACTTACGCTGTGTTATGGTCACTATAAACTTACCATATCAAGCTGAAACTGTAATCAGTTGGACAGTTTTCTCTTTGTTTATGTGCTGTTTACTAATAAGCTGGTGCAGTAATAAATATGTGAGACCTTGAAAAAAAAAAAAGTAGTTAGGCTTTTTTTTTTTTTAGAGACAGAGTCTCACTTTGTCACCCTCAGTAGAGTGCTGTGGCATCACAGCTCACAGCAACCTCCAGCTCTTGGGCTTAGCTGATTCTCTTGCCTCAGCCTCCCCAGTAGCTGGGACTACAGGTGCTCACCACAATGTCCAGCTATTTTTTGTTACAGTTTGGCCAGGGCCCCAGTTTGAACCCACCACCCTTGATATATGGGGCCAGTGCCCTACTCACTGAGCCACAGGTGCTGCCCAAGTAGTTAGGCTTAATAGAAACTTACATATATGAAAATGCCCATAGCAGAGCAAACTTTAGGTAAATCATTTAATTTTGAAGCAGGAAACTTTAAACACCATTTACTCTGTAACTATGTATTCTGGCTAGTCTCTACACAGTATTATATTCAGAAGTAATACAGGTCTAATATCCAAAAGAGAAGTGAAAAGTAATTTAGATTTTTAGGGATTTTTAAAGAGGCACCAAAGTGGAGAAGTATAATGCAAGGATGTTTAACAATCCCTTCAACGGGAATAGTGTTGGGGTAGGGAGGAGGAGGATGAAAGCCCGTAGACTGACATGTTTGGTTACAAGTCCAGCCATCCATTTGCAAATGAATAAAGTAAGGCCAAAATAAGTTACAGTATCTTGACACTCATCTACTGAATCATATGGAGTGGGCCTACAACTCAGACTGACTTCACTTGAAACAAACCTTGTTCTAATTCCATAGTAGGCAATCCTACGACCTGCCATACATGGATCACTTTCCACCGCCGTGGAAAGAACACAGGGGAGTAAGGAAGCCTGGGTTCCAACTTGGTTCTACCACGCTCCAAATCCTTAGGGAGGTCATGTCCTTTTTAAGGCTCAGGGTCCTCTCTCTTAAGAAGGTGTTGGGCAAGGTGAACTCTTGGGTCCTGTCCAGCACTAAAATCCCTTGCTTCTGCTCTGTCCTAGGCTCTGCGGCTGTGGCAGTGGTAGCCTCAAGCTAGTTAAGAACCCTCGCCCCAATCTGTCCCTCACCCTACTGAAGTAGAGAGAGAACATCACCCACTTGGTTACCCTTTAGTGCCCTTGTAGGACATACTGGGTGACTATCTCCAGTCAGGGCTTCAGAGTTGGGTTCTGTGGGATGCCAGGAAAAATGTGAGGGGAGAGGATCCTTCGATGCACCTGCAGATCCCAGGCCGGAGGCCACCCTTCATGTCCACCCACTCGGAACCCGCTGCAAGACAGGTCCCGGGCCCTCAGCAGGCACACCACGCAAGCGTAGCCACCAGCCCAAGGCGAAGGGACCCGACTCCGAGGCCGAGGCAAGGTGAGAGGGAGGGGTCGGCAAGACCCTGCCTCCGGGTCGTCACGTGGGAGGCGGGGTCGGAAGCGTGACGGCGTGCGCGGGGCGGGGCTACCGCTGCGCGCGGGCGCGGGGGCGGGGCGCGGCGCGGCGCTCGCGGCTGCTCCCTGGGAGGGAGGCCGGGCAGGCGGCGGAGCGGCGCGGCTCTCAATCTGACGGGGAAGTGGCTCGTGCGGCCGCGGCTGACTATCCCGGGGCGGACGGACGGTCGACGGTGGCGGGGATCGGGAGCTGAGCCGGGCAACCTAGAGAGCGAGCGGGTCAGGCTCCGCATCGGCCACTGGGTCTGTCCGCTGAATGAAGTGCCCGCCCCGCTGAACCCCGAGCCCGGCGCTTTCCCCGCAAGATGGACGGTTTCGCCGGCAGCCTCGGTGAGTACGGCTGGGGTGTCCTGCCTCTCCTGCGCAGGGTGGGCGCCTTGCTCTCTCCACGCGCAGCCCAGGCCCTGCTTTCCGCCCTGCCGCTCGGGGTGGCAGGAGTTCCACTGCACATGTTCCCTTCGAGGCTGCCGCCCCTCCGCGGACTCCGGCGGACTGAGAGCCCCTCCCCCATGCCCAGCCCTCCTCGGAGCCAGACCCTCTTTTCCTCCCAGAGCCCCCTTCTGTGCCGGGGGCCCTCCTTCCCTGAAAGTGGGAACTCCTCCCCCTCTCAGAGAGGCCCCCAATAGTTGCTGCACCCCTCCCCTTGCACTCATGGCTCCCCCCATAGACTCTCCGGGGTTGAGACGCCCCTTCAAATCCAGGCCCCTCTTCAGGGTACAACATTCCTCCCCTTTTCCACATATACTGAGCTCTCTTTTGGGGTGGGAACAGCCTTCACCCACGCAGAGGCTCTCTTTTGGGGGGGACCTCCATTCTTTCTTTAGGAAGGGGACACGTCCCCCTCCTTCACTTCAAGTTTAGAGACCTCTTTTTAAGTATCCCTCAGAGTAACTGACAAGTTCGCTTCACTTTCTCCACTTCTTAGAACATTTTGCAGTGGTGGAGAGACCTAGAACCCGTGAAGCATCATTTGCTTAATACAAGAAAGGAAGAGGTGTATCTGTGTTGGGGGACCCTCCTTAAGAGTGAAAGCAGAAATGTTTTCTGGCTCTGCATGCATGCTGGGGAGAAGTTATTCTGCTTTATGAATCCATAGGAAAGGGGGCCTCTGACAGGGAAAGAAAGGATTCTCCATTTTTGGAATATGTTGTCTTTGTGGAATGGAGAAAGGGAAGAGATTATTAAGTAGGCTGAAGTATCTTTTAAACGTTCACTTTCTCCAGAATAAAGGTAGTACATTTTTTAACTGGCTAGTACAACTTCAGGTTGGTACTCAGTACCTTATAACTTGAGTCCGGAATTACTACTATTCTTTGAGGCCCCTTGAATGTGGTTACAGTAAAGATTGAGCTCAACTGTTATGGTGGCGAGAGAAACTGTTTCTGCTTTGGCTGATAATGCAGTTATGTGATACCTGCTGCTGGATTTGTATTTTGAGTATTTTATGTGTAGGTAGCTTGTATTCAGATGGCCTCTCTTTTTCATTTCTTGGTAATAAATCTTTAGTTTGTTACTGTTCATGGATAAGTGAATCATCTGGCCACAGGCCAATACTTTAATCTATCCAGAGAATGTTGAGGTTAGATAGATTTTTAAAATCTGAAGTACAAAAGTAAGTTGAAAAGCAGTGGTCTTACTATAGGTATTAAGTAGTAAAAATTCATCGTTTGGCTTTGACTTTTTCTTAGGAAGAAGAATCATAGTTATTAAAGTACTGTGAGAGTGGAAATCCTAAAATAGGAGGCAACTAAGTATTACTCTTTCCTCCCTAAAGGCACCTGTTGTCTATTATCTAACCTTTAATGTTTTATAATTCCTTACTTGGTTAAGTTTGTCTCATTCTTAGGCTTCTTTTAGAGAGGCATCAACTTTTCATTGGTTCTTTTTTAGCCTCTTGTCAGGATTTATTTGCTAGTTCGTATTGAAACTAGTGTAAAGACGTTCAATTTGTCCGCTAAAGAGTTGACCATATATTAGGGTAAAAAACCATTGTCTTTTGGGAGATGGCAGGCGGTGAGGTCTCTGTACTGTTGCCTCCTCAGCCTGCAGGAATGGTGAGAACACTGCTCGCTTTTACTTTTCTTCGTTGGTTTTGAGGACTTCTGGAAAGCTTGTCAGAGCTTCATGTTCTGTGTTTTGAGGGAGTCTTTCTCAGCAATCCCAGCACTTCTTAAGTTTATTTTGAAACATTGGATATACTTTGTTAAATAATTTTATCTCTTAATTCATGAGGCAATGATGAGAAAGTGATAGGTAAGGATGAATTTCATTTGGGGCTCCCACTTTTTATAAAGAGTTATTGCTGATCCTAATGTTGGATTTTTAAAATTCATGTGATGCCATACTTTGGGTAATATGTGACGAGACTTTTCCTTTTTTTTTTTTTTAATGGTGCTAATCGGGAGCAGGGGAGATATGCCTGTCTCTAAAGAGAAGAACCTATGTTAGGCAGAGAGGGAAGGAAATGGTTCCTGGCAGTATTTTTGGAACAGCTCCTGCTGAAGGTACTTCTCAGCAGGAGTCCTATGCTTTTTCTCTTTCTACCCTTCTTGTAAGAGTAAAACTAGGCCCCATCTTAATTGAAACCTTAAAGGGTTGGGGTTGGGGGAGGAGTAGTGCTGGTATATTTTCCTGGTAGCCTTTAAGCAGAGCTTTCCTCAGCTCTTGCCAAATTGCTTGTTTCTGTTCTCTGCAGTTAATTAGCCTAGCCTAGAGCTTAGAGTTACATTGATCTTTATTTTATCATCAGGAGAACCATGAATATAAAGGCAAGCACTTGTACTCTAGTAGATGTTTAAAAACTTTTTTTTTAACCAAACAAGAATTTAAAACATGTGAAGTTCTTCTGGGGTCACAAGCATTGAAAGCATTTATTTTTTTCTCAAGGAAGTTATGTGTGTATCTTCTTTTACTTACTAGATGAGATTTTGAAAATTTGTGAGAAAATACATTTTTGTAAGAAGAAAAATTGAAAGTTTTATAAACAGTGATTTTAGAGAATCTGAATATTTAAGAAAACCTATGGTGAATCATTTTGTAAAGTGAAAAACGTAAAAAATTCAATCTGTACTCTTGAATTGAGCCTTTAACATTAAAACACTATCATGTGAATTTTATAAGATATGGCAGTTGACCCTGTGTAGGGTCACTACGTAAATCATTAAGAGCAATGCTAGGTGACGGGCCATTTTATAAATGCCAAATTAAAATCGTATAATACTTGTTGTATTACCTTTATTGTACATAAAAACAACTGAAGGATGGTTTTAATCTATGCAGCTCATGAATTTCGGGCAATTTGTCAGCTGGTACTTGTAGTCTGGAATTTCCTTAGGTGTTATATCTTTTAGTTAATGAATTATGGTAACTTAAAAAGGCAGCACTTTGGGAACAATTCTTTTCCAAAGCTTAGGTGATAAAAATACCTAAATTATCTTAGTGTCCTGTCGGCAAATCACTACATATATATGTATACATACATACACACTTAAACATACACACTTTAAAAAGGTATTATACAGTATATATTTTAAATCTCATGTCTGTGTGCATATGTGGAAAACTTATCACTTTTCTTACAGATTTCATAAGGCAGGAATTGGGTGCATTTCATGCTTCCATCCTTTTGCTGTCTTTTTTTCATAATAAAGGTTTTATTAAGACTTTTACCTTGGACTTAGCCTGTAGCTTAGTCAGCATTTGCACTTTAAAGAAAGTGTATACTTAAACATGTCAGCTTTTACTTTTCTGTCTCAAAAGTTAAAAAAAACAAAACTCAAAACCTTTTCTCTCAAAAACTGTAGTTAATGAAATCATAGGTCTGGTATCTATGTATCTTATATCTCTAAGAAACACAACTTTCTGGGTATAGGATATACATATTAACAAGTAGTAACATAGCAAGGCATTGTGGTAGGCACCTGTAGTCCCAGCTACTTGGGAGGCTGAGGCAAGAGAATTGCCTAAGCCCAAGAGTTTGAGTTTGAGGTTGCTGTGAGCTGTGACGCTGTGGTACTGTACTGACGGTGACATTGTTGCTGGAAGATGAGGCCCAATGGAGACAGCACCCAAACACCACGTTTATAAGAGAAAGGGCTTTATTCACCAGCTGGAGCTTACCGCATACAAGAATTCAGGTGTATCCTTGTGGTCTCCTTGAGAAGACCTGTTCTCCTAGACCTCACCCTTCTCGGGTATCCTCTTTCAACATAGTGAGACTCTGTCTCAAAAATAATCAAAAAACCCCAAGTAGTAACAGTATGCATTAATATATGGACTATTTTAAGAAAGTCTTTTAACATCACATTATTAAAACTGATTTCTCATCACATATGTTATCTTGCTTTTTTATTTTTTTGAGACAGAGCCTCAAGCTGTCACCCTGGGTAGAGTGGTAGAGTGTCGTGGCATCACAGCTCACAGCAACCTCCAACTCCTGGGCTCAAGTGATTCTCCTGCCTCCGCCTCCCAAGT